GTCTCTCTCTGGTCTCCCTCTGGTCTCTCTCTCTGGTCTCTCTCTGGTCTCTCTCTCTGGTCTCTCTCTGGTCTCTCTCTGGTCTCTCTCTGGTCTCTCTCTGGTCTCCCTCTGGTCTCTCTCTGGTCTCTCTCTGGTCTCTCTCTGGTACAATACAATACAATACAATGTATTGTTGTATAGCCCTAGGTCACAACAGAAGTCATCTCAGAGACTTAACAAAACCATTGAAATCACCAACACAGGTCAGAGAATCAACAGTTAAAACACATGAAGAATATAAAGCACACACAGAAGAAAATGTCCATACATGTTGTAGAATGCTAAAGTGTCCTGATCATCACCAATCCTTTCTGTTGGACACTAACTGTCCAACAAGACCCTCCTGCATCGACAAGGAACAACTCTTAAAAAACCCAGTGGGAAAAAGTGAGAAACCTTGGGGAGAACTAGGGAAACCCACAGGGAGGGAGACCCATATGAGAAAGGGATCCGCTCCTCCGGACGGACAGGCTAATGATCCAGGACCTAAGCTAGCTACAGGACGTGGACCAGTGGACGCTGAACGTGGACAGGTCCGGTGCAGGACTGAAGCACTCCCAGGCGGGTCGGGCGGGGCAGTCCGCAGGTGTAGATGGAAGAGGCCAGGCTCAGAGATCCCGTCATCGTACCATGAAACAGACAATGGGACAACGGGTGAATAGCAATGAACAAACTACAGTCAGAATCCTAAAAATGCTAAACAGATAAAGTAGGAAGGAGGAGAGGATAGTGCTCAAGTTACCATACTTCTCCAGCAGGGGGCGCCCTATGCAGCTTGACTGACACTCTGAGGAGTTTAGCCTTCTCCGAGTCTTACCTTCCTAGCCATATGCTAAACTAAAGAGGACTGTTTTAAACCTAGCCTTGAATAAAGAATAACATACAGCATAATATATAACATAATATACAACATAACACAATACATTATTGAATAATATATAACATAATATACAACATAATACAGCATATATATATAATATATACACTACATATTATGGTCTCTCTCTGGTCTCTCTCTCTGGTCTCTCTCTGGTCTCTCTCTGGTCTCTCTCTGGTCTCTCTCTGGTCTCTCTCTGGTCTCTCTCTCTGGTCTCTCTCTGGTCTCCCTCTGGTCTCCCTCTGGTCTCTCTCTGGTCTCTCTCTGGTCTCCCTCTGGTCTCTCTCTGGTCTCTCTTCTGGTCTCTCTCTCTGGTCTCTCTCTCTGTCTCTCTCTTGGTCTCTCTCTGGTCTCTCTCTGGTCTCTCTCTGGTCTCTCTCTCTGGTCTCCCTCTGGTCTCCCTCTGGTCTCCTCTCTCTCTGGTCTCTCTCTGGTCTCTCTCTGGTCTCTCTCTGGTCTCTCTCTGGTCTCTCTCTGGTCTCTCTCTGGTCTCTCTCTGGTCTCTCTCTCTGGTCTCTCTCTGGTCTCTCTCTCTGGTCTCCCTCTGGTCTCCCTCTGGTCTCTCTCTGGTCTCTCTCTGGTCTCTCTCTGGTCTCTCTCTCTGGTCTCCCTCTGGTCTCCCTCTGGTCTCTCTCTGGTCTCCCTCTGGTCTCTCTCTGGTCTCTCTCTCTGGTCTCTCTCTGGTCTCTCTCTGGTCTCTCTCTCTGGTCTCCCTCTGGTCTCCCTCTGGTCTCTCTCTGGTCTCTCTCTGGTCTCTCTCTGGTCTCTCTCTCTGGTCTCCCTCTGGTCTCCCTCTGGTCTCCCTCTGGTCTCTCTCTGGTCTCTCTCTGGTCTCTCTCTGGTCTCTCTCTGGTCTCTCTCTGGTCTCTCTCTCTGGTCTCTCTCTGGTCTCTCTCTCTGGTCTCCCTCTGGTCTCCCTCTGGTCTCTCTCTGGTCTCCCTCTGGTCTCCCTCTGGTCTCTCTCTGGTCTCTCTCTGGTCTCCCTCTGGTCTCTCTCTGGTCTCTCTCTGGTCTCCCTCTGGTCTCCCTCTGGTCTCTCTCTGTCTCTCTCTGGTCTCCCTCTGGTCTCCCTCTGGTCTCTCTCTGTCTCTCTCTGGTCTCCCTCTGGTCTCTGATTACAGCTGATGTGTGTTTCTAGTCCTCCTGTTTCCAGTCCTTCAGAGACCTGTTCTCCGCCTCCTCCTCGCGCCCCGCCCCCTTCGGTCTGCACCCGTACCCCTCGTCCCGGGCCATCTACGCCATCGACCTGATGCTGAGCTGGACCCACGGCCCAACGGGTACCACCAACCACACACCAACCACACACCACCAACCACACACACCAACCACACACCAACCACACACCAACCACACACCACCAACCACACACCACCAACCACACACCAACCACACACAAACCACACACTACCAACCACACACTACCAACCACACACTACCAACCACACACCACCAACCACACACCAACCACACACAAACCACACACTACCAACCACACACTACCAACCACACACCAACCACACACAAACCACACACTACCAACCACACACCAACCACACTACCAACCACACACCAACCACACACTACCAACCACACACTACCAACCACACACTACCAACCACACACCAACCACACACTACCAACCACACACAAACCACACACTACCAACCACACACCAACCACACACCACCAACCACACACCAACCACACACAAACCACACACTACCAACCACCACCAACCACACACCACCAACCACCACCAACCACACACTACCAACCACACACAAACCACACACTACCAACCACACACCAACCACACACTACCAACCACACACTACCAACCACACACCACCAACCACCACCAACCACACACCACCAACCACCACCAACCACACACTACCAACCACACACTACCAACCACACACCAACCACACACCAACCACTCACCACCAACCACCACCAACCACACACTACCAACCACACACCAACCACTCACCACCAACCACACACCAACCACACACTACCAACCACACACCACCAACCACACACCACCAACCACACACCACCAACCACCACCAACCACACACTACCAACCACACACCAACCACACACTACCAACCACACACCAACCACACACCAACCACACACTACCAACCACACACCACCAACCACACACCACCAACCACCACCAACCACACACTACCAACCACACACCAACCACACACTACCAACCACACACCAACCACACACTACCAACCACACTACCAACCACACACTACCAACCACACACAAACCACACACTACCAACCACACCACCACACCAACACACACACCAACCACACACCAACCACACACACACCAACCACACACACCAACCACACACCACCAACCACCACCAACCACACACCACCAACCACACACCACCAACCACCACCAACCACACACACCACCACACACACCAACCACACACTACCAACCACACACCAACCACTCACCACCAACCACACACCAACCACACACCAACCACTCACCACCAACCACACACTACCAACCACACACCAACCACACACTACCAACCACACACCAACCACTCACCACCAACCACACACCAACCACACACCAACCACACACCAACCACACACCAACCACGCAACACCAACCACACACCACCAACCACACACCACCAACCACACACCAACCACACACCAACCACACACCACCAACCACACACACCAACCACACACCAACCACACACCAACCACACACCACCAACCACACACACCAACCACACACCAACCACTCACCAACCACACACCACCAACCACACACCAACCACACACCAACCACACACAAAACCACACACTACCAACCACACACTACCAACCACACACTACCAACCACACACCACCAACCACACACCAACCACACACACAACCACACACTACCAACCACACACTACCAACCACACACCAACCACACACAAACCACACACTACCAACCACACACCAACCACACACTACCAACCACACACACAACCACACACTACCAACCACACACACCAACCACACACCACACCCAACCACACACTACCGACCACACACAAACCACACACTACCAACCACACACCACCAACCACACACCAACCACACACAAACCACACACTACCAACCACACACCAACCACCACCAACCACACACCACCAACCACACACCACCAACCACCACCAACCACACACCAACCACACACCAACCACACACAAACCACACACTACCAACCACACACCAACCACACACTACCAACCACACACTACCAACCACACACCACCAACCACACACCAACCACACACAAACCACACACTACCAACCACACACCACCAACCACACACCAACCACACACAAACCACACACTACCAACCACACACCAACCACACACCACCAACCACACCACCACCACACACCAACCACACACCACACCACACACCACCACCACACACCAACCACACACCAACCACACACACCAACCACACACCAACCACACACCAACCACACACTACCAACCACACACCACCAACCACACACCAACCACACACACAACCACACACTACCAACCACACACCAACCACACACTACCAACCACACACCACCAACCACACACCAACCACACACACACCAACCACACACCAACCACACACCAACCACACACTACCAACCACACACCAACCACACACTACCAACCACACACTACCAACCACACACTACCAACCACACACCACCAACCACACACCAACCACACACAAACCACACACTACCAACCACACACTACCAACCACACACCACCAACCACACACCAACCACACACCACCAACCACACACCAACCACACACCAACCACCACCAACCACACACCACCACACACCACCAACCACACACTACCAACCACACACTACCAACCACACACCAACCACACACCACCAACCACACACCAACCACACACCAACCACACACTACCAACCACACACCACCACACACCACCAACCACACACCAACCACACACCAACCACACACTACCAACCACACACCACCAACCACACACCAACCACACACTACCAACCACACACACCAACCACACACCACCAACCACACACACCAACCACACACTACCAACTACACACCACCAACCACACACCACCAACCACACACCAACCATACACCACCAACCACACACCAACCAGGAGGTCATGGGTTCGTGTCTTATCTTTCTCAGACTAAACTCAGTTTGAATGATCTGATGTCACAGGTTTATATTTACACAACCCAGCGATCAGTGGATTTGTGTGTGTGTCTTCAACCCAGCGATCAGTGGATTTGTTTGTGTGTGTCTTCAACCCAGCGATCAGTGGATTTGTTTGTGTGTGTCTTCAACCCAGCGATCAGTGGATTTGTGTGTGTGTCTTCAACCCAGCGATCAGTGGATTTGTTTGTGTGTGTGTCTTCAACCCAGCGATCAGTGGATTTGTGTGTGTGTCTTCAACCCAGCGATCAGTGGATTTGTTTGTGTGTGTGTCTTCAACCCAGCGATCAGTGGATTTGTGTGTGTGTCTTCAACCCAGCGATCAGTGGATTTGTTTGTGTGTGTCTTCAACCCAGCGATCAGTGGATTTGTTTGTGTGTCTTCAACCCAGCGATCAGTGGATTTGTTTGTGTGTGTCTTCAACCCAGCGATCAGTGGATTTGTGTGTGTGTGTGTGTCTTCAACCCAGCGATCAGTGGATTTGTGTGTGTGTGTCTTCAACCCAGCGATCAGTGGATTTGTTTGTGTGTGTCTTCAACCCAGCGATCAGTGGATTTGTGTGTCCAGGAGAGCGGCAGATGGAGCCTCAGATCCTGGAGGTGAACTTCAGTCCAGACTGTGACCGAGCCTGTCGCTACCATCAACACTTCTACAACCATGTGTTCCAGACCCTGGTCCTGGACCAGCCCCAGGACTGTCCTGTCACTGAGATCTAGACCAGAGACCAGAGAGAGACCAGAGAGAGACCAGAGAGAGAGAGAGACCAGAGAGAGAGACCAGAGAGAGAGACCAGAGAGAGAGACCAGAGAGAGAGACCAGTGAGAGAGACCAGTGAGAGAGACCAGTGAGAGAGACCAGAGAGAGAGACCAGAGAGAGAGACCAGAGAGAGAGACCAGTGAGAGAGACCAGTGAGAGAGACCAGTGAGAGAGACCAGTGAGAGAGACCAGAGAGAGAGACCAGAGAGAGAGACCAGTCAGAGAGAGACCAGAGAGAGAGACCAGAGAGAGACCAGGGAGAGAGACCAGATCTAGACTGGACTAGACCAAAAACAGTATTTTATGTGAAATGTAGAGAAAATAAAAGTCAGTTGGTAATGTTTGCTTTGTGTCTTCATTTCAATCCTTTTTCATTTCTTGTTTTTTAAAATAGATTAAAAGAATTTCTCTCCCCCCTCTCTCTCCTCTCCCCCCTATCTCTCCACTCTCTCTCTCTCCTCTCCCCTCTCAGTTCAATCAGTACTGTAATGATCTGCTGTAGTCCATAGTCTCCTGCTGGTCCCTGTCTGTTGCTGGTCCCTGTCTGCTGCTGGTCCCTGTCTGCTGCTGGTCCATAGTCTCCTGCTGGTCCCTGTCTCCTGCTGGTGGTCCCTGTCTGCTGCTGGTCCCTGTCTGCTGCTGGTCCCTGTCTGCTGCTGGTCCATAGTCTCCTGCTGGTGGTCCCTGTCTCCTGCTGGTCCCTGTCTCCTGCTGGTGGTCCCTGTCTGCTGCTGGTGGTCCCTGTCTCCTGCTGGTCCCTGTCTCCTGCTGGTGGTCCCTGTCTGCTGCTGGTCCCTGTCTCCTGCTGGTGGTCCCTGTCTCCTGCTGGTCCCTGTCTCCTGCTGGTGGTCCCTGTCTGCTGCTGGTCCCTGTCTGCTGCACACTGAGGACTCTCGCAGATTTATTCCACTGTGGTTTTACTGCATCATTTGTTTTGAATGTTCTCTGTGGGTCCAGTACCAGATGTGGAGACACTGGTGTTTATGGTCCAGTTCACAGGATCATCCATGGTCCTTGTTTTTCTAGTCTGCTCTCTGACATCGTGAACTCTCCTCAGACGTGAAGAATCTATGTTGTTTCTTTTCTCCCAAAACTTCTGACGGAAACAAAATACTTCAGTCTGAACTGTATCTGACCTCCTCTCTCTTGACTTTATATAACAGCAGTATGTGTTCACGGTGACTTTATATAACAGCAGAATGTGTTCACGGTGACTTTATATAACAGCAGTATGTGTTCACGGTGACTTTATATAACAGCAGAATGTGTTCACGGTGACTTTATATAACAGCAGTATGTGTTCACGGTGACTTTATATAACAGCAGTATGTGTTCACGATGACTTTATATAACAGCAGTATGTGTTCACGGTGACTTTATATAACAGCAGAATGTGTTCACGGTGACTTTATATAACAGCAGTATGTGTTCACGGAGGTGACTTTATATAACAGCAGAATGTGTTCACGGTGACTTTATATAACAGCAGAATGTGTTCACGGTGACTTTATATAACAGCAGTATGTGTTCACGGAGGT